GGGCGTGCGAGGGCTTGGGTGGAGGTGGCCGGGCTGGCCAAGGCTCGGTCTTGCCCCCTTGCAGACCACCCTCTATCTCCGACGGCACCTCCTCCGAGCTACGACGCCGGCCTCTGCACGTGTGTGGTCAAGGTTCTTTTTGGTAGTGGGTTGAAGATTCGCGACGAATCCTTGCCGACACTGCCCCGGTCCCGCCTACATGGACCTGCGTTCTCTAGCATTCATGGCCTGTCGGCGTCCCCTACTGGTGCGATTCTGGCCCGACGTTCCGGTCGTTGCGTCCCCTTCTAGTGTCTTCGGTTCGCCGGTGTTCTGGTGGCTCCGCCTTCGGCAACTCGGATCTGCGTTCCCTTCCGGCTTCGGCTAGCCGGTGGCGCTGGTCACCATCCTATCCTCCGCGTCGGCTTTCTACCACGCTACCTTCCCGACCCCGTCCACCCTCGTGGCATGTCATTTTCAAAGCTCGTGTTTTTCCGGCCGCAGGTGTAGCCCCACCCCTCCCTTCAAGGATGGCACGGTCAACCAGCAATTTGTCTTCCTCATCTTCGGATCCCGATCTGGCAGATATGGGATTGCTCAGACTCAGGCCTGGTGAAATCCATGCTCAGCTTGCCGGTGCTGGCAGCGGCGACACTCACGAGTGTCGTTTCCCTTCCTAGGGCCGCTGCCATGGCCTTTATTCGTGCCCCTCTTCGAGCATCGGGGGAAACCCTATGGTTATTCAGATCGGATGGCGGCGGCGTCACGATGTAGAAACCCCTTCTTGAAGGCGCTATCTTGTTCGCTCGCAGCGTCCCCAGTGTTGGATTTGAAGATGTTTGACGTCTTGCTATTTTGTCTTGCCTCTCTGTTTAGGGTTAGTGGGTTTAGTTGTGTTCTTTCCCCCATTCGGGCTGAGCACCCCTTGTCTCTCTGCTTCTGATTCCATGATCATGCCTTCTTGTGTTCATGCCATGTGTTGTACCCCCTACTGTACTCATTCTCTTTCCTCTATAAATGAAAAGATACGCAAGCTTTGTGTATTCGCGAAAAAATGTACTCCCTCCATCCCACAATATAAGATCGTTTTGCGGGCTGTTTTAGCTTGCAAAACGATCATATATTTCGAGACGGAGGGAGTACTACATTATTTTGTTTCATTTTATATGTTGTTGGTTCTTTTGTATCTAGTAAATAAGCAAGCGGTAGATGCTTTCCATGTTCCTTCTTGTCAATTCTCGTCGTCTTCTTAAGAAAAGGCAGAACTTTTGTTGGTTGCTCGGAACAGAAAATGTTGGTCAAGTGCTACTTACTGCAGTCAGTAGGCGATCAAACTGACGGATTTTTACATCCACCCAGCATCCATCTATCCACCTAGCAGAATCAGGATTACCATACTGCATACATAGAAAGCAGAATCTACTAAGTTGAGAGCTCAGTTGAGTTCATGCTTACACTACACCAGTAGACTGAAACAGTTTGGCTGCCTCCTTATCCTTCCAAGGTGCATTGTTGAAAGTGATATACACCTCTGATATCATAAGACATCTCAAATGTGCAGTTAACTATTCCAAATTAGCAAAGCTAGCTTAGCGGTCAAGTGGAGAAAAAATGATGCTCTGTTGATTCACCAGCTTGCTCAACAGAATAAACAAGTCTCTCTGCAACCAGCTGTGGTAGGTTCAGATGCTAGCTTTTAGCTATGATACGAGAACCCTGATCTCATGATCTGAATACGAATTTCGGCAATGCCACCAACATTTTCAAGGTACCCCAGCTCCAAAGTTCCTCCTGGCTTCATAAAGAACACTGAAACGCCGGAAGATTTAATACCATCTTTTGTCTTCTGTTAAGATATGTCCAGAGTTGTTTCCGCGGAACCTGCTCATAAAACCGGAATCTCAGATAATTTAATCCTACAACGGTAAAACCTATTCTGGGAACCTAAGATGCAAAATAAAGTCTAGGAACCACTATTTCATGATCTTATTTGCCAAAAGCATAGCACCAATGCACCATATGTTCTTCAGTTCCTTTGGAAACGAGAAAAAGAAACAGGGAAAATCTGAATATTAATGTATGTATTCCCACTTGCACTACATATTCATGGTGCGCCAGTGTAATTTCAAAGAAAAATTTGTTGTGCCAGCCAAATCATGTCGATAGAAGCAACTTAAGAATAAAGAAATCCACAAACTGTTCACATCAACATTGACAGAGAATAAGAATTCTACAAACAGTTCACCTGACATGTCCAACTCATTTCTCCAAAAAGTTAAGACCCTGGCAACACTACCAGTCTACAAACATACCACCACAAAGTACGGATCTATTTCTCAAAACATGTCAAAACCAACGAATACCAAAATTAATTGCTAAGAATTCCAACAATAGCCGTAACAAAATAACCTACGAAATTCTTTATCAGAAAGAAAGCAGATGTCTAGCCATTGGCATATTGATTCTCGAGTAGTGTTGTTCGACACATTATCTTAGGGCGCAATTATCTGTTCCTAGTTGCAACCATGCCTTTCGTGGTTCCAAAAAAAAAAAGCAAACTGGAGGTAAACGAGGGGATGCACTAGTCATATAGCAAAGATTCTCCATAGTTCAGAACTTCAAAATGGTGACAAAGGCAAGATACTAGACACCAAATGATGACAGCAGAGGTGCTTTGCTACCATCCAAATTGTTCAGTTTTACAAGCAGCACTAAGAAGACCAACTAAGAACAAAAGATAAGGTCGATATAGAATAGATACTCCAATGGCGCAGCAAACTGGCAGTGTAGAACATTAAGCATTGCATCCTACAGCCCTATGAAAAATGGAGGCTCCTGATTCGCACTGTCATCTTCTCTCATCTCATGGAACAGTGGAAGGGGAATAATGCTCTGCTGGAGGTAATGCCAGGTAACCCACAAGTAGATTTCTTGGCCATCTTCGCTTTTCACATATCCTAAAAACTTGCCATCGATGTCAAAACGCAATACACACAACCAAGTGAACTGGATCAGCATCTCACCCCCACCGAGCACAGCCATCCTAGGGACTATTGTGTCCTTTGGGTTTGGATCGACAAGCACTGATGGGTCCATCCCAGTCAAATTCATGCGATGCTTAAAAGACCAGGTTTCGGCATCGTAGTCATGTACGACCCAAACATCTATGGTGTGTTTGACACTGCTGATGCTACACAAAGCAAGAGTGTCGTCATCCATCTCCAGCAACGTCTCATGTAAGCAGTTGGGCAACCGGGCAGGGCGACACATCAACCGAAATGTTTCAGATGCTGCGTTGAACACCATTATGTAGTCGGCATCCCAGCTTTGGTGTTTTTGAAGTATCCAGTGCAGACTGCTACGGTGGTGGGCTGGTGGCAATATTGACGAACAGGGCAGACCCCTCTGTAACGCCAGTTCCAAGGAAGGGGACGAGGATGTTGGTTGTGGGGTGCATCCTTGTCCGATGTATCTTGTACTATTGGATCCCACCGCTATGGCGTAGTAGAAAGTTTTTTCGTCTTGTGCGTTGCTAGAGACCCAAGGCACTCGGTACTCTCCTCCCGATGGTTCGTGCCGATAGAAGCCGACAATCCGGGGGTAAAAACCCTGTTGGGCTTGAGGCTTGGCTAGGGGAGCACACTTGCGAATGACCGGGTTGCAGATGAAGTACTGAGACACCACGGATCCGTGGGAGACGACGAGGAGGCCATCAAGGGAGGCGTGGAGTGTATCGTGGTAGTAGGTCTGGATCTGGATGACAGGGCAGAGCTGTTGCTGGCTTGCACCAGCGTCAAAGGAAAACAAGAGGTGGACTTTCGGCGGCTGCGGGTCGACGACTTGGCTGAGGATCGGGAGCAAGGGCTGGCGGCGGCGGTGGTCCAGCATGAACTTGTCGGTGGAGGTGGCGCTGTGCCACCACCTGCAGACAACGCGGCAGCGGAGGATGTCCTTGGGCGGCAAGCGGATGAGAATCTCTTCCACGACGACCCACTCGGGAAGGTCGTTCAGGACGGTCGCACCTCCCGTTCCCGGCATGGTGACTGGTCGCCGGTCAGATCCGATTCCGATCCTGTTGAAAAATAAAAGGAGGAAACGTCAGGATTGTGGGTGACGAATTCTTTGGGCACGCAGAGGCGAGAGGTTTACCTGTGGCGGGACGGACGGAGGGGGGTAGCTAGTCAGGAGACGATGGCGAGCTATGGCGGCACTGCGAACCCTCCGCGGCAGCGTGCTCCATGATCGCCTCGCACACGGTCGGTTTGGGCGGCGAATCTGTCTGCGGGTCTGCCGGACTCGAGGACGAGGGCGCAACTCGCGGTCTTCGCTGCTGTGGTTTATGGGCGTTATAATTCGGGTAGGCTCATGACCAGCGCCCTTAGTTTTTTTTTTCTTTTTTGACAAATCTGGCACGTCTGGCCCTTTTTTTAGAGACGTCTGGCCCTTTTCACATTGAAAGTTTGCTCGGTGGACAATGAGATAAATATTTGAATTGTTTTTTTTGTGGAAAAAAATATTTGAATTGTTAATAGTCTTCACTTGCATGAAAATCTATTTCGTCTCGACTGATTTCTGCGGACTTGTGTGTTTCTTTAGCACTAGCATATATGCCGGCTTGTGAATAATTACTTCTTTTTATGAAGTATGTGATGCACCAACCGTTGTTCAAGATGGTGTGTATACAATTGGAGCATGTGGCTACCGAGGTTTTTCTCAGTATGGATGGCAGCATAACCCACAGATTGATCCACCACCTCCTTTGACATAGGCACAGTGTCGGTCTATAGGACTTTATTGTTGCCGATTTGTCAGTTTTTATTTCATGAATTTTCGTTTTTCTTTTGGACTTGGCTGTGTGCATCTTAATTATTTTGAGGCCGGGTGTTACTCATAATGCTTTGTATCCGCTTGATGCCACATTTTGAAATAATAAAAGCGCCATTTATCAAAAAAAAAATCCTGCTAGTATATTCTAAAATGTGAGTGTAAGCAATATCTTGTGAGAGGTTTAGAGAGCACACACATGTCAAGAACTACATGTATTTAAAGAAAGAACTTTAGGGGAAGGTGCCAACAACTGGTTTTTCCGTTGTCATTTTCTCATCCCATATTAGTTGAATTAGTTACTTGCTAGTCTTTTAGCATGACTTGAAGGAGCTTGCCCCACAAGCGGGGACCGGCGCGGGCGACTGGGTGCTCGCCAAATGGCTGCACCTAGGAGGGCGACGCGATACACGCGTCGAAGCGTGACGCGGTGCATTGTTTTTCTCCTTTTCTTTTCTTCGTGATTTGTTCACTGTTTACTGTAACTAGAACTATCAACCTAGTTCGTGATGTTTTCTTTTTAGTTCTGTTGCCTTGAGTGACTTATATGTTGTGATTCGAACTATCAACCGAATGAGAGATGCTAGACTTACAGACGTATTCTCACAGGATTTCTGTTGCGGACTCATGGAAGAGTTGTGGTTGGAGAAGATTAGGGAGGAGAGGTCCCACCAGCGAAAATCAAGAGGGTTGGTTAGCGAGAGAGCAGTCCGTACTAGAAATCCGTAAGTGTTGCATTTTTGCAACCGAATTCGCCATGTGTGGAACTATAACTGTATGTGCTTTCAACTAATTAATATTACGATGCTTTAACCATTTGACTTGCTGGAAAGAACTTACTGGAGTACGTGACAAGTAGGGGACTTGTAAAGTCATGTTGAGTACAATAAACCTATGGCAATGTCCTGGGAATGCTAGATATATTACAAAAAAAAATAGTGCAATTATTGTACATAGGCATTATGAGGCAAAGCGCACGAGGTGCTTCACGAATATATGTATGTCAAGCAAAGCAGGAAATGTTGAACACTGGTGCGTGCAGAGGGAGGCATATATAATCGGTCCTCTTATGGTCGCCTTGTGGTAGGTACGTCATATGGATGTCACTATTTCCCTCGTAAACCTGCTCTACCATCGAAACGTTTCTTCGGCCTTAGCTGAAGAAGAAAAAGAATATGTTACGAGGTAGGACGTTATTGGCAACAAAAACTCATACTACTAGCTAATACGTATGAAGAGAGAGAAATACATACGTCATTGGTGTGGCCGCACTTCTTCTTGCGGCAGTTGGTATATGAATCAATGGGATGCGGCCGGAGAAAACTTAATTAGGACGGAGAAATGAAAAAAATCAAGCACCTATAGGCGTGTCTGTGTAGTAGTATGTATGTATATATGTACGTACATACTACACGGAAGATGTATGTAGCGGAAGATGAGAAAAATCAAGCACCTACATGTGTAGTATGTAGGTATATATGTCTGGTGACTACACATGTATGTATATATGTACATACATACTACATCAACTACACATGTATGTAGCGGAGCGCAAGCGCCAGGAGGGTGGGGTTGATATAGGGGTAGCAGCTTCATTGCCGGAAGCCGCCGCGGAGGCCGAGCACGTGGTGCAGCGTCGACTCCTTGCCGATGTCGTAGTCGGCAAGCGTCCGGCCGTCCTCCTCGTCATCTAGCTGCTTCCCGACGAAGATGAGCGACGGCAGCTGGTGCGGGTCTTGGGAGGCGGTGCCGGCGATCCCTTGCTTGTCCTCACTACCGGACTCGCGGGCTATGCCTACGGCCCAGGGCCGTCGGCATAGGTCCAATGCCGTCGGCATAGATCTATGCCTACGGCTGCCGTCGGCATAGTCCCGTCGACGTAGATCACGTCAGCGTAGATGTGTCAGATTGTCGGCGTAGTATAGCTGTCGGCATAGGTGCGTATGCCAACGGCCGAGGGGCAGCCGTCGACATAGTTTAGCCGTCGGCGTTGTTTTCCGTCTGACAGCAACGGACGGCGCCGTCAACAACGCTGCGATTCAGGGGACGACACCTGACATATGTATGCCGAAGGCTTGGCCGTCGGCATAGATTTAAATCTATGCCGACAGCCAAGCCGTTGGCATACATATGCCACGTGTCGTCCCCTGGCTTGTCCTGGCGGCAGGGCTATGCCTACGGCAAAGCCCATCTATGCCGACGGCTTTGCCGTAGGCATATCTCTGCCACGTGGCGCCTCCTGGTGACTCATGAGCGTAGATATGCCGACGGCTTTGCCGTAGGCATAGTTTTTTTTTCCTGTTTTCTCTTTTTCAATTCATTTGACAGCATTTCAAAGCAGAATAATATGGAATTATGCAGAAATATGACAGTTCATCATCTAAACATACTCAAGTTCATCATCATCATTTAAACATAGTCAAGTTCATCATCTAAAGATCATCACCGACGAAAGTTCACGAACATAAAAGTAGTGCAAGACATGGAACATCATAAAAGTTGGATCATGAAAGGCATGGCACGACGGCCGCATGCACGAAATCATCATCGACATCAAGCAAGACCACCTCTGCCAAGTCCACCTCCGCCAAAACCACCACCACCACCGAGTCCACCTCCGCCAAGTCCACCTCCGCCAAAACCACCACCACCACCGAGTCCACCTCCGCCAAAACCACCACCACCAAGTCCACCTCCGCCAAAACCACCACCGCCAAGACCACCTTCGCCAAAACCGCCACCGCGACCACCATCACTCTGCCAGATTGGAGTGACTAGGGTCGACGGAGCAGGAGTCGAGCCACCGGTCCCCTAGATGTTTGAGAGAAGATTCTAACGGTAAATATGACATGATAGTGTTGAATGAACGAGAACTAGTTTGTCAGTAGTTAGGCAAATGTACTAACCGGACTATCACCGCCTAGTGCCAGCCATTCCTCGAACGTGGGAATGTGTGGGGCGTCTCCCGCAGGTGGTGGGGGGGGGGGTCCAACTTGTGGTGGCTCCGTGCGGTTAGTCCAAGACGCCAACATAGCCTGGATGTTAGTTAAACAAGCAAACTAGAAAGTCAGAAGGGATGAAAAGTGCAAATTTGAGCTTGGTTTTAAGAGGGCAAAACTAACCGCCATCACTTGATGGCTATAATCATCGTTTGCCTTCACTCGTTGCAAGTACTCCCGCACCTCAATATGCCTATGCTCGAGAAAGGCCTGATATGCCTACAAAATTGAGGTTGTTTCTAAGTGGGCAGTGCTGAAAATAAACTAAGAAAGATAGAGACAAAGAAGATAAGGGGAAGTACTTACAGCACGCTGGCGTACTAAGGGAGGCTGCGAACGCCCCGTACTCTCTAACGGGCTCGGGTTGGTAGCTCGAAGCCATGTGCACGAGATCGACGGAGTGATCAAGCCATCGAAACACGGATACCGGCCATGGGACTTACCCTGGATGGCCACCACCGCCGTGTCGACGATCTGAGACTGGGCGACCTCAGGAACGGGAACATCCGGATGCAACTTCTGATAGTTCTGAGTATAAGACTCCAGGTGCTGTTCGGTGTTGCCATAGTACTGGATCTCCCCCTCCTTGCGATCACTCTGCTCGCGGGCCAGCTTCCACGACTCCATGTCTTAGAGCGGCCTCTGCAACTTGTCCTCCTACAACGTCAAACAGAAGTTAGCCATATATAAGAACATGACGGTAAAGAAGAACAAAAATGCATCATGCATATAGATATACCTTCATGGCCTTGAAGCCCCAGTGGTTCAGGTTTCCTTGACCGTGTGTCCTGTCTTTTCCACGGTTAGCCCAGGCCTTGATGCTCTTGGCAGCAAACTCTGCATCGTCACCGACCCACCTATCCACCAAACTCGCCCATCCGTCATGCCTTCCATAGCACCAACGAGGAACAACCTATGCAAATTTTGGAAGCATGACATGTGAGAACAAAACATATAGTTGACTGCTTGAAACAATGAAAAGTCAGTAATAGTTACCATCATGAACTGCTCCCTGCTCATGGTAAGTTTTTGCTCCTATGCTTGAGTTTTGGTCATCTTTTGTTGCAGGTAGATGTGGTAGTACTGCGAGACGGCAACCCAACGCACCTCGTACTGCAACTGACGAGCTTTCTTCTTTGCAGCCGCAAGTAAGACCACGTCGGCTCTGGCCTTGTGCTCGTCAAGAACTGTATAGAGTTGCTGCAATCATGCATA